TCGTATGACGTATAACAGGGTTATATTGTCTGATAGCGTCTATAAACTGTTGATGACGTCCGTCGAGACCAGGAGGTAGATATATGACAATGTTATTTTCTTCAATGTCAATGTACATATCTACGTTCGGACGATGCGTATGTGAAATTTCGAGTATTTCCATTAACGAGTTTTTTAAGGATGATAGAGAATTTAGTACTGGTTCAAATCTTAATAAATCTCTATGTGGTTGTATATCAGATGAATTTAATATAATATCCTTCTTGGTTTCATCTACTATCATGATGATTATTTTATTCCTTTTTACATTTATATAAGATCCACCAAAACTTTCTTGATTTTGTTCTAAAAGTGGCTTCAAAAGTTCATCTACCATGCATAAGTGCTTCTCAATATTCAATAAATTAGGCACTTCAATTTCAGTTACATTCCATAATTTCGATAATGCTTCGTTCAAAGCATGAATCATAAAATATTTTTGTATTATAAGAATAATTAACAATAAATTTATGATAAAATAAATATTTCTCATAATTACGTTGGTCAATAAAGTAATTGTTAATAGTAGAGATAAGTAAGGTTGTTGCCAATAATAAAGATAGATGGATTAAAGAAGACACTTGCAGTGGTTTATTTAAACTTTTTTTTTTATTAAAGGTACAATATAAAATTAAACACTTTGATATGATCAGTTTATAATGATGAAAATTTTGGTCCCGATCGATTTATAACGATGAAAAATTTAGTAATTACAATGAAAATGTTTAAATTATTTGTCGATACATATATCAGGATCATAATATCAGGAACATAGTGAAACGAATTGTATGGTTAGATTCTGATTTGCAGTTGTAATCCAGTGATTTTCATGACGCAGGACCCTTTTTCAATCACTAAATAAATTACTAAATAAATTACTATTAAAAAAAAGTTGCATAATTATACATTTTATGTGTCAAATTAAATACTAGGGTTAGATAAGAGCCTATGCTAAAAGTAGTGATTGTATC